GACAACACTTTGTCAATCACATCCTATGTGATTCCTAGATGAGTGTGGGATAGTGATACACTATCACTGCATGTTCCTCATCCCATCCTTACCATCAGGTCCAAGTCCGACTTGATAACCCAATTCAAGCTCAACCATATTTGAGATATGAGAATCATGATTTCTCCATACTGCCTCACCAAGATAGTCAGGCACGCTCAGCTAGGGCATGACCCGTAACCATGACGATCGAGGCATTGACAGTTGCTCTACTAATGGGCGGTAACAACTTGAGATTGCATGAGGCATAGGTGACTTGAACACCAGGATACCTTAACTGAATTCAAGTCAGTTCAGTCAAGTTGTTCTGATCAACTCAGTTGAACTACATTTAGTTCTATTGAGTCGTCTATGTACAAAATCCCTTGGCCAAACAACAATTGTTTGCCTTAGATTCGATACCAGAACCCTCTCAATATCCTAATCAGATATTTGATTCAACACAACGATTGCGCAATCAAAACTCTGAATTCTGGATTGTCATCAAGCTTGGTCTTATGTGAGGCTTTGATTCCAATTCTGATAATTGATCCGACACAACGATTGTTCGATCAAAAACTTGAATTTTCGGAATCCTGGATTGTCCGAGGTCCAGACCGATCGGTCGGCTTAATTTTGAAAAACCCCGAAGCCCGGAACGAACGGTCCAGAAAAGCACGTGGATCGTCCGCTCCAGCAAGCTACAACGGACGGTCTACCATTAATGGTATGTCCGTTCCAGACGTCATGGAACGGGCGGTCTGCATTCAGTGGACCGTCCGTTCCAGACCTTCTGGAAGGACAGTTCACGATCTGGACCAAATGCAGACCGGCCCCGAAGACCGATTGTTCCAACAGACCCAGACCAGACGATCCAAAGACTAGATCGGGCGGTCTGTTGAGCGTAATCTGAAATCCTCTTCTGATCATCGGTCCAGACCGGTCGGTCCAACCCTTGGACCGGTCGGTCTGACCTAATTTGACCAAAGAGGAAGAACCGTCGTCACGCATAGACCGATCAGTCTACTCTCTAGACCGATCGGTCCATGCGATGGACAGACTTCGGATCTCGGTTTCGGGTCCCAAAAACTAGGGTTTTCATCCCCGTTTCGATGCACCGTCAAACCTCCCAAGAACCTCGTTCATCCATGCATTATTCAACAATCAAAATCATCAAACAAGCATAGATCTCATGTTTACATGCATTCTAACCATTAAAACCATGAAAAACATGCAAAGATCTATAGTCTATATGCATTCTAACAATTAAAATCATGCAAACCTGCAAAGATCTATTGTTTACATGCATCTTAACAATTAAAATCATGCAAACAAGCAACAGGCACAGCGATATACAGAGAACCAGGCTCTGATACCACTGTTGGGTTCCGTCGCTACGGGTTCCTAGCATGCGATCTCATCGCTCTAGGGTTTGGTTTCTAGGTTTCATGCAGCAGAAGAAAAAGATCTAAACCTAGCCAAACGTCACACAAAACCAATTGTGCAATAACCCGAAAGAACGTGTATATCACCGTGGGATTCGAATACTTACCTCATTCTATCAAGATCTGGAAGTATCAATCGATCCAGGGCTTGTTTTAATCACCTAGAGTTGAAAGCACAACTCCTCTACACGTATCCACACCGGCGGGATGAATTCCAACACTTTGGAAAGTATCTGCTAGGATTTGTGAAGAGAAAACGACGTCCTTGACTTGGAATCTATATTCCGGTGTTTAGAACTCAAGAGAAAGCTTCTCCAAAGCTCTAGGAAGTGTCTAGGACGTCTGAGGATTATTCCTTAGGGTTTGTGGCGGCTCCCCTCATTAATTAGGATTGCCCAAAACCCTAAAACGCGAAATAGGAAACTGTCCCGTAAGTCGGATCGTCCGGTCCAGGTACGGAACGGACGGTCTGACCTTCTACGCAGAACGGGCGGTCCGTTACTCTACGCAGAACGGGCGGTCTAGAACTTGCGGAACGGTCGGTCCATTCTTCAGCGGAACGGACGGACTAACATGGCTGGACCGTCCGGTCCAGGCCTGGACCGGACGGTCTGGCCGTCTGGAACCCTTCCAGCTCGTTTCGTGGTTCCTTTCTCGCGTCGTTTTCTTCACGTGTGATCCATCCCTAATGGGGTATGACTCTGTAGGCCCATTCGAAGTGGTAGTGGCTTCGGAAACCCTTTCCCGAACCACAAGTCATGGTTAGCCTCTAGCAAGACGCCATGACCACCCACCTAGAATAGAGTTAGAGGTGATCTAACAAAGTCAACAATAGTTCGAGTTCTGATCCTTTGTCTCACGATGTCGTATGTTGAACAAGGGCATGGTATGAGCCACCCTTCAAGTTCAACCGTTTACTCGTCTATCGACTGATAAAATAGATGTACCTTTATCTATAGCGTGGCCACGCATTTTCACAGTCTGATTTCCACGAGGGGCCCAGCGACATCTCTCCTGTTAAGGAGGTGACAAGTTCCATATTGCATGTCTACTACCTCCATATGATTCGTAAACGTATCTGATCAACGTCGTTATAATCATCCGGTTAAAGATGACGTTTGACGCAGTCAAGACACGCCACTCCTCATATTAGATACTCTAGACATCTCAGGTCTGAGGATCCAAGAACGAACCGTTGAATGAGATTCAAGTCATGACTCATGTCCATACGACAATCTCATGTGGGTCATCCAGTCACTCGTTCTAAACGAGTACCCATGATTGTTATTTGCATCCAATGCATATGATCATCAACATCAATCACACATCATGCTGGTCTTATTTCATCATTGTTCCCACAATGACAACTGACCAGGGATTTTAGAATCATCTGCAATGATTCAAGGATATCTACCGAAATATAACAAACATGCCAATCATATCACGGGAAAAATAATGCATTCATAAACCAATGAATCAATACATAGTCAAAAAGTCATATCACGGATCATCGTAGAGCATTACAACCAACAATAACAAAACGTTCCGATTTCTAAAAGATAATTGTAGTGAAATCACGGTCGTAATTATCTGGTCGTAGTCGTAGTTATATGGTCGTAGTGAAATCACGGTTATCTAGTCGTACTCGTAGTTATCTAGTTGTAGTGAAATCACAGTCGTAATTATCTGGTCGTAGTCATAATTATATGGTCATAGTGAAATCACAGTCGTAATTATATGGTCGTAGTCGTAGTTATATGGTCGTAGTGAGTTGTAGTCATAGTTATATGGCCATAATAAAATCACAGTCGTAATTATATGGTCGTAGTTATAATTATATGGCCGTAGTGAGTCGTAATCGTAGTTATATAGTCGTAATTCTCTTGTCGTAATTGTAGTTATATGGTCGTAGTGAGTCGTAGTCGTAGTTATATGATCGTAGAAAGTTGTAGTCGTAGTTATATGGTCGTAGTGAAATCATAGTCGCAATTATCTAGTCGTAGGGCGACAGCCGCAGGTCTACAGATCCGCAGGGCGATAGCCGCGGGTATTGCATTGTGCCCTTGTTCCATCCGCAGGTACCACAGGACGATAGCCGCAGGTCGCAGGGCGATAGCCGCAGGTACCGTAGGGCGATAGTCGCACGTACCACAGAGCGATAGCCGTAGGTCCGCAGGGCGATAGCCGCAGGTCGCAGGTACCGCAGTTGACCTGCCAGGTGCCGCAAGTGACCTGCCGCAGGCCAAATGACCTATTGCAGAGCGCATGTCATTTTTCACAGATCGTAGGTCATCTGCCGCAGTTTTCTAGTACAGACATTTCATCAAACACCTTATGTGTATACAAAAAAATGATCAGAATATCACAGAAAAAAATCAACGAGAAGAGTATTTGAATAGATTAAATAAACTATATAACAAATAGAAGAGATAGAGAAAATATTGGAGAAAAAAGAAAATCAAATAGCAAAACTTACCGATTTTTAAAAGATAGATTATCACACAATCGTAGAGAAATACTGTAAAGGGTAGGTTAGGTATTTAGAAAAAAAATATTATGTAAAAGTTATTTTTTTGTGAGATATTTTGCAAATTTCGTTTTTGTTTTGGTACACTTTGCCAACTGCCTCTATTTTTTATTCAAATAAATTCTCAGCTCTATCAAATTGGTGAAAATATTCATGTACACTTTTTAAATAGTTTCCAAAAAAACTTTATCGTGAAATATTTGAATTAGACAAACAGAAAACCAATTTAAAAGTCACACAAAAATAATAATAAAACAAAAAATAATACACATATAAAGGATGAGGATTAGATTTTAGTAGAATAATCAATGAAATTTTTTGAAAGACAAGTGCACATTATAATTTGAAGGACAAGATATTAGTTATCTATCCATTTTCATAATAGTTTGCGGTCCAAAACGCAACCATGGCATTAAACAATTGGACCATTTCTTTGCTTTAATTTTTGAGAAACTCATGCCTACTTATTTATTATTGTTTTTTTAATTAAAGATTGTGTATAAGTCACTATGACAGTCTAAAGTAAAAAGGGCGAGCCTAATCATATTTAATCGAGGTAAATGCGAATCCCAAAGTTATTCACAAAATCCTAAAATATATAATTTTTAAAAAAAATATTATGATCAGAACTAAAATATTTAAAGTTTTAAAATGTAGGTGAGAAAAATTTAAAATATAGATATTTTTAATCTGTATTTAACTGTATTATTTTTAAATAATGATACTGTAAGCGTATAATATTTTTATTATTTTAATAAAAATCTTATAACATTTTGATTTTTTTATCAATTTATCTAGAATAATAAATTATATATTTATACAGAAAAAATAGCTTGTGTTTATTTTGGAGTTGTTGATTTTATATTTTTTAATGGGTTTATGTATTATATTTTTTTTCTTATAAAAAAATATAATACATAAACCTAACGTACCATGGGAACTTTACGTTACGTGTATCAACGAATTACGTAAAATGTATAAACTTCCTTATTTTTCTCTCGCTCATCATGGAAACACGAAAATGGACGATTTATAATATTAAATTCTGCAACAATAACAAAATATTATTACATGTAACAGATATGATACGCATCGCTCATGTGACGTAATCAAATAAATATTCGATTTACTACAGGACTCTCGACATATCTCTCGACCAATCTCAATCCAGTGAGCGAATCACGAAACCGGACCTGTTCAAACTTCCTGTCTCGTATTCTATACAAGAAGGCCTTCTTCTTTGTGCGTTCGTAGCCTCTCGAGCCGTCGAAATATCCAGCAAAATCTCCCGTAAGCGTTAGGATAATATTGTTGTTCTTCGTCAAAGAAACGAAATCTATAAAATAATCGTAATTATCTGGTGCTGATGAGATCATGCATGACGTTGAAACGGTTGTGACCTTGTTCCATGATCCCGGTTGAGCGTCGGTTTTCTCCATAACCGAAATCGTGATCTCTTGGTTTAGCGGCTCGAATTCCGTAAGGCAAAGATTCTTTCCCATAATGCCTAACCAAGAGCTTCTCGTGCCTTGGCTGTTAACCGGTAATGATAACTTCTGGTATTCATGGGTTGTGAGGTTGTAGCAGAGGACGAACCGGTCTTGGCTCGACCGGTACGCCATCCAATATAGGTTTCGGTCCAAGAAGATACCCTTTCGATCTCTGTAATGCCAATCGGGGCAAGGAATCCTTATGCTTTCCCTCCAAGAATTTGATTCGAATTCGAAGATATATACCGTGGACGAATCGATTTTATCAACAAACGTTACGATCTTGTAATCATCAGAAAACCGGTCATAACCGAAACCCAAAATATTGGACTCTCGGTGTATACCAGGGTTCGGTATAATCTTGAACTCCTTTGAATACGGATGCCAAACCGCTAAGCCTTGATTCTTGAGGGTTAGACACAACATTCCATGGCAATGAAGAACACATACACTTTCATCCACCATCTCCTCGAATGGACATTCTATGTTCCATGGTTCAGTTCCTGCCGTGTCTGTGTCGGCTTCCATGTCGAGAAGACAAAGACCCTTCTCGTAAAATCCTACGAACTTTCCACGCGAAGTGTTTCGATACTTCTCGACGAAACTACGATCACAGATCAGATCTCTCCAAGCTTTGGATACGCATTGGAATCGGATGAGATCTTTGATGGGTACTCTTGAGAGCGTCTCAGCGACTAGTTCTTGAGGCATGTGTTGTTTGGACATTGTGTTTTCGTTTCTGAAGATCTGTGTTTGGAGTTGTGGATCGATGGTGAGTTTGGTTCTTTCCTTTTATAGAAGGAGACACAGACGGGTTTTGAGGGTTCTGAACAGAACGATTCAAAGAAATGGACAGTTTCCGAATTACGGAATTCAATTATAGTTAATACACGTGCGCTTCATGAATTATTTGTTTTTTATGATCTGTCCCATTAATTTTCCGGAATCTTCTTTAATTTCCTTTGTTTAAGGCGTAATCACGATCCGTGTATATATATATATATGTACATACACTAAATTGATCAATGCCTAATAAACGGGATGCATTTCATAGCAGTAATTGCAACGCTTAACTGATCATTATTAATCGATATTGGAAACTATTGATAATTATGGAAAATTTGCATAATTCTGGTTTTAGAGTTTTTCCAATTTCGTTTTGGATTTCCTTATTATATTAGTACTTATATTTGCCAAAATTCTACAAAAGGAAACTACGATGTTCCATTTGCATTGTTTAATTATAAATAATAATAATAATAATAATAATAATAATAATAATAATAATAATAATAATAATAATAATAATAACAATAACAGTTTAAAAGTTATGGTATGGGTTTCTAAATTTTTTTAGTTTCCTTAAAGAAATACCGAATTAAACGTTTTAGGGTTTTTTTCCCGTAGGAAGAAAGTGGTGTGTAGCTTAATTATATATATTTTAAAATCTTTTTGAGTTGGTTTCAATTCAACTGGCCGAAGATTACAAATGGATTTCATCCTAAACAAAATCGACAAAATAATCCATTTAACATCAAGAATCAATCGAAATGAATCTGTTCGATGCTTGAAGGCACATTAACGTTGTACCTTTGAGAAGTACTTGCAAGCCTGTGGGAGCACGAGAAGAACCAAACGTAACCCAAACTAATACTTATACTTGCAAGCCTCTCTTTGTACTTTCTGTTTAAAACAACAATAAAAAATATTATTCGAGTCTATATAGATTTAATATTCGCTATATTTCGGTTGATGTATCTTTAGTGTTGATCCCTTTTTAGCATCTGAGTTCAACTTTAGGTTATGTTATAATAAATTGATATCGATATGTATAAATAGAAGTAAATTGAACATAAACGAGTTTAATCGAAATATAATGATATTAAAATTCAATAAAACTTTTAATAAATCTACATATAAGGAAAGTATTTGTTAAGACTCTAATGATGGATCCACTAGTTGGTGGATCGGTAGATAAAAGATGATAAAATCATTTTAAAGTTTTGGGTTCGATTTCAGT